TTTTTCCTTGAATAGTTCTTTCAAAAAACAAAGTTATCTGATTGATGAGTAGTAAGAAGACAACCAATTGGGAGAGAATCAATAGATTCCTTTTCAGGAGCTATTCACCTTTTTGGTAATCTAAAAAAATTAAATTAAACTATGAATTTCCTGTATAGTTTACACAAAACCTTCCCATAAATTCAAAATAGYGAACCGAAACTACCCAACAAATTAAAAATAACCAATTCATATAATTCAAAATACCAAATTTTACAATTCAAATAATGTCTGGGTGTATGTAACAATCTAACTAGAAGGAGGGTGGAAAGGGGGGAGAGTGTATCCATGTTGCTGCATAAAAGCAACAAACTGTTGCATTAACATGACATGCTCAGCTAACTGGCCAGCTTTTCAGGCCTCTGGATTTTCCCTACTCTTCCATTCGGCCTCCAGCTTGGTTAGAGTTCCTTCCGTAGCTTCCAATCTTTCACCTCCTCCTCTATTCTTTCCATTTCCATTTTTGCTTTCAATTCACTTCTAAACATTCAATATTTGACAAAAATCATTAATTTGTTGGCAATGAAAAGTAATGACATGATAAATAACAATATAACCAACATACCTCAACTGTCGATGACGTAATGGATGATCTCTCAGTGCTGCCTAACCCAAAAAGACGGTCCTTCCTCCGTCCTCCACACTCTGTTCCCAAAGAGATGAATCACCATGAGATGTGGTACCAGGCTCTGCACTAGACTGGGTCTCATCTCTAAGCTCTCAAAATAGCTTATATGGTTTACCAAAACAAAAACGGGTGAGCTTATATCTTTAGGCATTTTAGCAGTATAACGACTATAAATCGAACATATCCAATGCTTACTTTTAACATTTATAATATTCTAATTATCAATGATAGTCAGATTGCTAACCAACCTATCTACTTATTTAAACCTTTTATCGAGCAATGGCAATCCAAACTAATAGAATCATTAGGTTTATAAAAATATATTCCTGTAAACCTACCAAACGGTTCTATAAAACAAAGTAATGGTTTTACAAAACTTAGTGCCACTCTAGCTGCTTTAGGGTAAACGAATATCAGAGGATTAGTAGGCAGGTGGAACGAATCCTGAGTGACCTTCTAGTTCAAGCAGTAGATCCGCTCAAACACCTCAGAAGAACTCGGGTCGCAACCTGGTGTCTCTKTCTGCAATARACAATTAAGTTAAGTTGTTAGTAAACATACAAATCTAATTACATATTCGAAAAAACTATAGACTTTCAATTTGGTGACGATGATGTGCAACACTAATCGATCCCTGATGTGCCTATACAACACACCTTGAAACTAGGTCTCTCAATTAGCCTTACTAGCCCTAGACTGGGACCTCCAATGGTCGGTATCCCACAATTGTTAAAAATATAACACATGATTAGCTATAAAGCAAAAGTAATGCACAAAGCTCACAATAAAAATAAAAACTTGATCAATCATGTTGAGTCAATACGGCTCTCGTCCCACATCACCCCATTAAAATCATAGGCCTGTGTTGCGGCCCATTCGCTTGCAGCCCTCATCCAAACCTCGTACCTATTGTGCATGGTACATGCCCATGCATCATAGAACTTCACCTCATGCCCCCCATTAAAACGTGTCGTACATACACAAAATTTATATCAAGGTAAAAACAATAATCTAATATGTACAACTTTAAACGGATTGACGTACCAACCCAAATGCTCTTCAACATATACTCACAGTCAGCTAGGGACATACTTCCAACGAGCCCATAGATCACGAAATGATTACCTGAATGTGGATATGACCTCCCGGACAACATAAGGATCTAGAAAGTAGAAACGTGGACAGCTACAAATATATATATATATATATATATACATACATACCACAAAAGGCATTCATGTGTGTGTGTATATATACACGTAAGACGATGGAGAAATGCTTCACAATGAATTGAAAAAATGGCCGAAAATACTTTGATACTGAGTTGATATGCGTACACCCAAGAGCTATTAACCGAACCTAGTACGCAATGTCAAGAGTTGATGCGCCTCTCACATGAAGCATATATACTATTATGCAATCATTTTAGACAAAGAATTTGGGTAAAAGATATTAGACATGTCAGAGACGAAGATATAAATGGCAATGTTCATAATGATGATCAGCCATAACGAGCGTTAGTGATTAAACGTATATTTCAACGATCTACAAAATTGTTCATGTTTGTTTCCGTGAAGTTTTATCGGCTATGATGGAATTCATAAGAGAAATTGTGGTGCCAAAAACTTTGATACGACTTCAAATATGTCGAGTCATCATAGACGTTTGAGGGAAATATTTCCGATAAGATTATTATTGACATTTTAAAGTTTTATACACACACACACATAATATATATATATATATATGTGTGTGTGTGTGTGTGTGTGTTTAATATTTAATCTTTTTCTGTTAATGAAGGGTGCAACAGGTGCATAGACGATACCCTTATACTTGCAATTGTGCCAGCTAGTCATCAAACTGCTTACAAGGGAAGAGTAGGTGGTCAATGCTATCAAATTGTTCTAGGAATTTGTGATTTCAATATGATATTTACTTTCGTTTGGGTTGGATGGGAATGTGTAGATAACGATTCTAGAAGACTTAGCGAAGTTGCTTTAACCCAAGATCTGCTTTTCCCTTTCCACCATAATGTATATACCATTCTCAATTTGGATTTTGCTTTTTTTATTTGTATATTATACATTTGATGTGGGTGCTTTTCAGATAAATACTATCTTTGTGATGTTGAGTACGCCAATGCTCGTGGATTTTTTGCTTCATATTGTAACACAAGATATTGGTTGGCAGATTTTGGAAGTCGACGTGCTTTGACTAAAGAAGAAAGGTTAAATCATGCACATGCCCAACTCTTGAATGTTATTGAAGGTGCTTACGGTGTCTTGAAAGCGAGATTTCCGATCTTAAAGCAGATGGCTCCGTTTCCATTTACAACACAAAGAAATGTAGTAATTGTTTGCTTTGCGATACATAATTTTATCAGAAAATATAATATTCAAGAACAGTTGTTTATGTAATGCAACGATGATACTATATTTAACAACGAAGAAGAAGTCGAAGGAAGTGGAGAAGAAGAAATTTTACCAAAGTGGTGCTAATAACACTCATTATATGGCTACTTTGCACGATGAAATTACAAATAATTTGGTCAATAATGTTTAAATTTGAAGTATTTGTGTTTGAACTTGGCTAGTTTGTATTTGAACTTGGATTTTTAAGTATTTTATAAATTTATGTTTTGATTTTTGGATTTTATCAATGAATTTATATTTTGATTTTCAAATAATTTTTCTGTTTTAAAAATATCATTTATCTTAAAAAATAAACAACAATTTATTAAATGGTGCTTAATTTATACTCGGAGGTAAATTAGTCATTTCTATCATTCAAATTGTTTATTTCAAATAGAAAAGTAAACAACATCAGTTTATTCAAACATACAAATTTATTTATACAAGATTTAATAGAAATTTGATAAACAGTCTCTAAGTTGTAAATAAATATGCTATATAATTGGTTTCAAACACTATTTTGACGAGAATTGATTTGTTTTTGATTGAAGTCTTAATTAATGCGTTTGGGTAGGAGATGCATTGATATGAAAGCTCAATCTAATTCCAAGAGAGGTTGCTTTCTTAGATGATCAAATTCCTCAATATTTTTAATTCTTTTGAAAAAGTAAGCCTCAAAACATTAAAAGTTATTAATGATAAAACCATCTTCCAACCAACCACTCTTTTTCTCTTCTCATTTCATGACACTTGGAATCTAATAGGGCTTTCTTTTTCTCTTCTCATTTCATGACACTTGGAATCTAATAGGTCTTTCTTTTTCTCTTCTCATTTCATGACACTTGGAATCTAATAGGTCTTTGTTTCAAACTTGTTAATTTATATGATATATATATATATATATATATAACATTTTCCCAATTAATTGAAATATTTATAGAAATAATGAGAATTCATTTATTATAATTTGAATATTTATAGAAGATGACTAAGGTTCATTAATTATCAAAAACTTTTATGAAATCACATATTAATCAAATTAAATGGAGGATTGATATTGAGTTATATTAGTTGTATAAATGTAACGGATTGCATAATAACTCACACCCTCTCTCTCTTAATTTATATGTATAATATCCGGTTGCAATTTGGTATTTATCATGCGATTATCTTGATCTTAATTTATAATGCTTCAAATTATGCGATTATCTTAATTGAGACTTGTAAGAAGCTTATAAATATAATTTTATATCTATATGTGATGGTTAAGTTATTGTAACTTTTCCTCCCAGTTAAATGATTATACACGAACAAATCTTGATTCCATCAATAGAAAATAAGTTGTCACATTGTTGGATATAAATATAAATAGTTTAATAGTCGAGAAAAGAACGAGGACAAGCATATTTTGAAATTTGGGTAGTTTGCATGATAACGCAACACAAGTGCATCTCTATTTGATATAAGGTCTGTTTGGATGATGCTGAGAAATGAATATGAAAATAACAGAGAATGAAAATTGGAATTAATTTTCATTTCCTTCGGTTTATCCAGGAATGAAATTTTAGGCTTTTGGAGAATGATTTCATTATATTATTGAAAATCAAACAGTTCTTTTACTTTCATTCCCATTAATTACTGCTTAATAACACTAACCAAACAACCCCTTAATATTTCTTACCCTCATTCGAAAAAAATTACTTATTCTGTCACATTCAACCTGAACTAAGACATTTTTTTTTTGGTTGTATTTTGCCTTGATAATTACAACTAGGAGTACTTTCTCGAAACAGTTGAAAAATTAAATGTGGTACATCTTTGCGAATGTGACAATTTTTTTTTTAATACAATTCCCATACTCATGCTCAGGCATAGACATCCCTATAAATACATGRTACCTTCCTTAACCTTTTCTTGCACCAAAACAGAAACCATAAAAAAACACAAGTTATTCTACAAGTTTCTAGGGGTTTTCTTTTGGCTAGAACGATGGCAGGGAAGATGATGATGCAGGTTTTATGTGTTGTGGTGGCTTGTATGGTGGTGGCAACGCCTTATGCGGAGGCTGCCATTAGTTGTGGTCAGGTGGTGGGGAAGTTGGCGCCATGCTTGAACTACCTGAGGGTCGGTGGTGCAGTGTCGTCAGCATGTTGCAATGGTGTTAAGGGTTTGAATGGTGCCGCACAATCGACCCCTGACCGCAAGACGGCCTGCGGTTGCCTGAAGAATGCTTATGCCTCGAACTCAGGCATCAACCCTAGCTACGCCTCGGGCCTTCCCGGCAAGTGTGGCGTTAGCATTCCTTATAAGATCAGCCCCAACACCGACTGCGCCAAGTATGTCCACTAATTTAATAATTTCTTTGTTCCAAAAATTCATTAATAATAATTTTTTCATCGTCCCAAAAATGATATATGTCTTTTTTTAGTTAGATCTAGTGATCAAATTTACAATTTTTTTTTCTATCATTACAAATTAATAGCTCAAAATGAGTTGCAGAAAACCTAATATGCACAACCCTATAATTTGTTGTTTCATGGTAACACTTTCAAGACAAATTATTGGATTCGTATTTCATATTTAGGGTTCATGTTTATTTGTTACCATTTTTGAGCAGCAAGCAGTGATCTGTATATTCTTATATATGTGGGTGGTTCTTGCAGGGTGCAATGAGGCTTCTCTCGAATGCATGGAAAGATAAACTTGGGGTGACGAAGATTAGAATATAAGATCTTATTAGAATAAAAAAGATATGGAAGGAAAACCCTATCTCTCCTTGGAAAAGTCTTGTTATATCATGTCTTAGCCATATATATATGTGTGTGTTTTTTATGCGTTATTATTAATTTATAAACGTTATTTCAACTATTTTACTATCATTGGCAATCGGTCGGTACGTAATAGGTCCTTCTATTACAACCTAGCATTGAGGTATTGCCATTTGGTCAATAGCACAGGGTACTACTACTAATCTTAACAACGAATCTTACTATTCTTGAAGATCAATAGTTCAAGTCTCACCAACAATAAAAAAAACATTTGGGAACTTTATTGCATACAAATATTATATATTTTGAGAAAAAATCAGAGGTATAATATGACCCAGAGTAGGGGTGTTCAAAAACCCGACCAACCTGATCAACCCAATGCGAAATAACCCAATCCGATGTCTAATCGAGTTGTAAAATTGTCAAACCGTAGGTATTGGCTTGATATTCTGTTACTATTATTTGAACTCAACCAAACCCGATGAACTCGATATCCTTTTATTTTTTGGATTTATATAATTGTTGAATTTTTATTAATATATACATTAGACAATTACATTATCATGTATATTTTTCATATACACATATTTTCAATCTATTCATATCTCTATATAACACATTCATATATATGTTCAGTAACTATGAACGTATATATGTAAATTGAAAAAATTAACTGAATGTGACATATGTAAGAAATATGGTTAAGTTGTATCAAATGGTTGTTGATGAAAAAGAAAAATTATGAGTAGAGAAATAGCATATTAAAAGTCAGAAGAATATTTTAATATACCAAAGTATCAACCCGACCAACCCGTACGAGTTGGGTTTGGTTGGGTTGGGTTGGGTTGGGTTGGGTTGGGTGGGGTTAAGATTTTTTCAAACCACAAGCATTGGGTTAAGTTGTTCAAATGTCTTCAACTCGATTAACCCAACCCATGAACACCCATTATCCAGACGCTAGAATTAAGAAGTTAAAAGATTAACCAATAAGTTAAATAATTATATAATGGAAAATAAAAGTGTTGATATTTAAAAATAAAGATGAAATGATGCCAATAATTGTTGCAAACTTTATTGACAACAATAATTAGAACATATGAATTATATCTTCTTAATTAAATTTTATGATTTTTTTTTCCTCTAAAAATCCTCAAATATCAATACTTATTTAATTCTTGTCCTTTTTTTGTGTGATAAAAGTGGTATTATATTCAGAGTAAATTGATGGACATGTAGAAGGCAAAATTTGAATACATGTAATTTATATTCTTTACAATACAAAAAAACAAACTTAGGGGCCGTTTATCAAACATTTTCTCGGTAAGTGTTTATCGGTAAACTTAACATTATTATTTACTTACCGAGTAAGATTTTAGTCCACCAAAACGTCATTATATGCAACAATTTATCCGGTAAGCATTTATCGTGGTAAGAGTCGTCACCCTCACTTATCGAGTAAGACTCATGATCCTTGTCTCGTTCTTACCGAATAAGATTCTTGGTTCTTATCATATTCACTAAACAAACAAAAAGATGTTATTGAAACAAGAATGAATTACAAGTTTATTTTAAAATAACTTTATCTTTAATTTATGGAAACGATATTTCACATTGAATTTGAATAATAAAGACTTGTGGACCATATCTGAAGTCGATAAATAATTTGTAATGATAACAAATTTTAATCTGTGTAGTTCATTAATAACTTCGATTCTCGTTCTTGTGATCAAGAAATTGTAATTTCGTTTATATAGTTTGTAATTTATTGCTATTTTCATTCTTAGATCAATTCTTAAATTTAAGTACAAGGAATCAAAACAATAAAAAATTGTAAATTACAGGATCTGAGACAACAATAAATTGTAAACTGTTACTAGAAAACTGAGTATTTCGGGCGCCTTTTCCGGCGGACGAATTCCGCCGGTAATTTTCCGGCAGAGTTTCGGCGGATTTCTGGCGGACGTTAAAAAAATCAACTTTTATTGACTTCCGCTGGAAATCCGCCGGAAAAATTAAACTGATTATATTATCGGCGGATTTCCGGCGGATTTCTTAATTAAGGGTTAATTAATCTTTTAAAATTAATTAATCTTTAAAAAAATTTAAAAAAGATTTTTCTAAAAACATTTCCGGCGGATATTTTTTTTTAAATTTTTTTAAATTTTCCGCCGGTAACTTTTTAGAAAAATAATTTTTAAAAATTAAAAAAACTTTTTAACCTTTTCTGCCGGATTTCCGGCGGAAAATTACAAAAAATTTAAAAAAAATAAATCCGTCGGAAATATTTTTAGGAAAAAAAATTTTAAATAAAAAATAAATCTTTTAATGATTTCCAGCGGATTTTCTGGCGAAAAAATAATAAATTAAAAAAAAATCCGCCGTTTA